AGTCTACAGTTGATCAGACTGAAGCACATAATAATTGTGCACGTTGACAAAACATTTTGGTGGCAGGTATGTGCTTCTATATAAAACAGCTCTTCGCAAATCTGCAGTGAATTAACTTATACCCACATTTTCAGTCGCAATTTGCTTATACCACATGATTTGCATGATATGAAGCCTGGTTTGTTGTAAAGTTGTAAGGTAGGCCTACTGTAGGCTACTTTACTATTCGTATGAGGAGGTTAATCGTTCATTTTTGATAGGCTAACGTTACTTGATGAGCACATGCTGTTAGCAACTCTGTGCTTTTGTCTTTAAACTTAAACGTAACGAGTGTAGCTTACAGACGAGAAAATAAACCCTTTAAATGTCTGCACATACTTGTGAATTGTTGCATTATTCAAGAGTGTAATATGTTTTAGAAGAAATGTTTTGGTCATTGTTTAATAGTTTGTGCTAACTGGCTAGCAGCTACTGTGCTATTTACGGTCAATTTGAGCTGCGGACGAAGAATGTTGCGTTGCCAGCCACAATAAAAGGTAAGGCAAGGATGTAATGTGAATTGAAAAGTAGAAATCTCTTTTGCAACTGCGCTCCTTAGACTCTCCTTCATATCTAGTAGTGGGAATAGGGCCTAAGCCTCTGTTCCCCTGTTGCTTTACACAGTCTCTCCCCCACATCTCATTCTGTAGGCCTATGATCTTCTTTTGCACCTGTCTAATGAAACAAGACAGTAGATTGTGTGTCACAGTGAGTACAGTTTGATTTGCCTATTCTTCTGAATTTCTCCTGGGGGGGTTTCATAACAGAACTCTAAGTACATATTTGTAATTTTCGTGCCTTGGGTCATCACATTTGGTTTTCACATGTATTTATGCAACCTGAATATGACAACTGCTGTAGAATGGTATGAACACAGTTTACCTAACAGCAGATTGTTAGTTTTACCCATCCCACTGAAAGACAATATCTGCTCGGAGAGCATGTACTCCTGTCAAATGTTGAGACCTTAATTCTTAAACCTGAAGTGTGCAACCCAATACCTTTAAGGACTGCTGCTTGTGTGATCGTTTTAAGACCTCAAATTACTTTTCATTAATAATCTTGTCCAACAACATTGTGTTTTTTCTCACTACTGGCTTTGTTTGCTGATATCTTGTTTCAGATGTGCATATATGTTTGATTGACATGAAGATAAAGCTCAGTGAATGGCAGGATGTAGTGATCGTCTGTTGGGGGGAATCATATAACATTACATCATAGTGCTTGCCATCCCATACTTATCATTTATCTTGGACTGAGGATATCCTCTGTAATCATTGGATGGAAGCCACTTGTTAGATTTATATTTGGCTGGAATTCTAGTTGTGCAGGGACAGCTAATGACTAACACTCACCCACATCGTCTGTAGTGGGTGTTGTAAGGCACACATTTACTCTTCATTTTTATAACATTCTATTATGTATATACACTGAGTGTACATGACATAGACTGACCAGGTGAATCCAGGTGAAAGCTATGATCCCTTATTGATGTCACCTGTTAAATCCACTTCAATCAGTGTAGATGAAGGGGAGGAGACAATTGAAATAAGGATTTTAAGCCTTGAGACAATTGAGACATGGATTGTGTATGTGTGCCATTCAGAAGGTGAATGGGCAAGACAAAATATTTAAGTGCCTTTGAATGTGATATGGTAGTAGGTGCCAGGCACACTGCTTTGTATGTGTCAAGAACTGCAACGCTGCTGGGTTTTTCACGCTCAACAGTTTCTCGTGTGTATCAAGAATGGTGCACCACCCAAAGGACATCCAGCCAACTTGAAACAACTGTGGGAAGCATTGGAGTCAACATGAGCCAGCATCCCTGTGGAACGCTTTCGACACCTTGTAGAGTCCATGCCCCAACGAATTTAGGCTGTTTTGAGGGCAAAAAGGGTTTCATCTCAATATTTGTACAGTGTTCCTAATGTTTTGTACACTCAGTGTAGAATTTAAATCATAAAGGTGAGCAACAGCATATGGAAAAGTACTTAGCGAGAGTCATGTTGACGCAAAGCTGAGGTACAGAGGTCTTTTCTCAGGCTCTACAGACTGTAATGAGTGCCTGTCAGGTTAGCTGAAGTTTTGGCCGTCCGCTCCCTTTACGGGCTGGCTGGGATATCAAAGGCCCCACTGATAAACAAAATAAACTCCCAGCACTGCTTTCACCCTTTATTGTCCTGCCTGGTTTTAATGTCGGCCAGGTGCAGAGTTAAGCACAAACTCCAGCATTTTTTAAGCTGGCATGCAAAGAGCAGAGCATCCATAGAAGCCTGTCTGTTGTTGGAATCACTCAGCTACAGAGCATCCTCATTATATACAGAAAACTTGAGCGTGCATAACTATTCACCCCCCCAAAGTCAATTCTTTGTTGAGCCATCTTTTGCAGCAATTACAGCTGCAAGTCTCTTGGGGTATGTCTCTATAAGCTTGGCACATCTAGCCACTGGGATTTTTGCCCATTCTTCAAGGCAAAACTGCTCCAGCACCTTCAAGTTGGATGGGTTCCGCTGGTGTACAGCAATCTTACCACAGATTCTCAATTGGATTGAGGTCTGGGCTTTGACTAGGCCATTCCAAGACATTTAAATGTTTCCCCTTAAACCACTCGAGTGTTGCTTTATCAGTATACTTAGGGTCATTGTCCTGCTGGAAGGTGAACCTCTGTCCCAGTCTCAAATCTCTGGAAGATTGAAACAGATTTCCCTCAAGAATTTCCCTGTATTTAGCGCCATCCATCATTCCTTCAATTCTGACCAGTTTCCCAGTCCCTGCCGATGAAAAACATGGTGTTCTCAGGGTGATGAGAGGTGTTGGGTTTGCGCCAGACATAGCGTTTTCCTTGATGGCCAAAAAGCTCAATTTTAGTCTCATCTGACCAGAGTACCTTCTTCCATATGTTTGGGGAGTCTCCCACATGCCTTTTGGCAAACACCAAACGTGTTTGCTTATTTTTTTCTTTAAGCAATGGCTTTTCTCTGGCCACTCTTCTGTAAAGCCCAGCTCTGTGGAGTGTAAGGCTTAAAGTGGTCCTATGGACAGATACTCCAATCTCCGCTGTGGAGCTTTGCAGCTCCTTCAGGGTTATCTTTGGTCTCTTTGTCGCCTCTCTGATTAATGCCCTCCTTGCCTGGTCCGTGAGTTTTGGTGGGCGGCCCTCTCTTGGCAGGTTTGTTGTGGTGCCATAATGGATTTCATGGTGCTCCGTGGGATGTTCAAAGTTTCTGATATTTTTTTTATAACCCAACCCTGATCTATACTTCTCCACAACTTTGTCCCTGACCTGTTTGGAGAGCTCCTTGGTCTTCATGGTGCCGCTTGCTTGGTGGTGCCCCTTGCTTAGTGGTGTTGCAGACTCTGGGGCCTTTCAGAACAGGTGTAAAAATACTGAGATCATGAGACAGATCATGTGACACTGAGATTGCACACAGGTGGACTTTATTTAACTAATTATGTGACTTCTGAAGGTAATTGGTTGCACCAGATCTTATTTAGGGGCTTCATAGCAAAGGGGGTGAATACATATGCACGCACCACTTTTCCGTTATTTGTTTTGTATAATTTATTGAAACAAGTTATTTTTTTAATTCCACTTCACCAATTTGGACTATTTTGTGTATGTCAATTACATGAAATCCAAATAAAAATCCATTTAAATTAAAGGTTGTAATGCAACAAAATAGGAAAAACGCCAAGGGGGATGAATACTTTTGCAAGGCACTGCAAGTACCCTGATATCAGTGCAGTATCCATATAGAACTGAAAGTACTCTATAAACATTGACGTATTCCAACACATGAGACTCACCTCTGGAGAGTATAATGATAGTTGGTGGAAGTGGACAATCACCCCAAAGGAATGCAGAGGGGCCATAAAATGAAACAATTGGCTGGGAGTCATGTGAGGTAATGCTCATTGTTCACGTTTGGCAAGCCCTAGTCTCTCTGGCCAATTTTCACATAATTTTACAGGTACGGTATTGCCTTTATCAGCATCACTCTTTTATGTAGGACTTTTTAAACAGTAGTTTGAAGACACGTTTATGGAAGACTGAACTAGTGAAAAGTGAACTATAGTGCCCTCTAATATTTTGGGGGCAGAACTCCCTATAACTGTTTGCCCAGGCTTTATCTCAGCAGGCTAACACATTCTTGTGGCACGCAGATGACCCATGTTCAAACCCAGTCAAAAGTAACGTTTCTTTGCCTGCCCTAAGGTTATTGGTGGAATTGATGGTTACTGCTTTCTATTGTCTAAAATTTGTTATTTTCAATGAGTAATCAATACCACACTATCAAGTAGGAGCCATGGAAATGAGCGGCCTGCGCTGCATAGGGCAGCGTTGTGAGCCCAACATCTGATTGTCTACTATCCATCAGACTGAGACTCTGCCTGGGTTTGGTTTTCTGCATCTTGTACCATTCACACAAGCCTGATGCCTTCCATCAATGGAATCATGTTTTCAAATTGTTTCCCCTGGAGTTGGGCATGCGCTGAAACTGTCATCTTTTGCCCCCTTTCTCCCTCTCCCCTTTTCCCTATCCCCTCTTCTTAGTATCTGTAGAGAGGAACTCTGCTGATCGCGTTGCAGTTTGGTCTAATTTATGTTCCACAGGTGCAGGTCTCATAAATACTCAAAGTGAACAAAGCCAAGTAATTCAATCCTGTGTCAACAAAGGCCAAAAAACAGACACAAATCTAATCCATCCCAGCAGGGTTCCAGTCTGGATATGAAATATCAGTTGAAAGAACATCAAGTTTTTCTCCTTTTCCACACATTGCCCCTGATTTCCATAAATATTATAAGATAATATGAACACACTTCGTATATCTTATGCAAGTTCTCATGACTGGCTAGTTAGAGATCCTATGGAGGCTTGAAATTATAAAGATTCCATTGCAAACTACAGTTCTATTTCAATTTTACAGCACTTTTTTTGTATCCCTCACTGACCAACAGACTAGATTGCCTCTGGGGAACAGTGAAGAAAACTCTCACCTCACAGAAGACAGAGAAAAGGCCGTCCATCGCACCAAAAGGAGCCAGCAGAATAAACGACTTGATTCAGGTATGGATTCTTTCTCAGAACAATGATTTCATTACATTCAGAGAATGCCTAATTAGTTCTAATTAGTTTTATGGCTGGACGGATGGGTATACATCAAAGTTTTTCCTCCAGGGAAAAGACTCATGTAAAAATCAAGACAGCAGGGACAGAGCAGGTCTGAACCCTGTATGCTGCAAGGTTCATGGTTGGAGTGGTATTTCTTGTAACGCCAGCAATGTTTAGTTGTGTTTACAGAGGCTGGATCTGTGCACTTTGGGAGGGAAACGTTGTTCCCCACTTTTATGCTGTTGGTATGAAACCAGACCTTAAGTAATTATTTTTGCGGCCATTCTCCTGGTTTCTTGGTTTGACAGAGGTGAGCACTGGGTTTTTTGATGTGGTGTTCAATTCAAAGCCTGAGCTGCATTGCATGTGTACATTTACAATGCAGTAATTAGTTTGGGCGCTCTGTCATTAGAGAGGGTTTTAGTCTCTCTTCTCTCTCTCCCTCTCTCTCCCTGTCTCACTCACTCACTCTCTCTCTTTCATTCCTCATTCGATTGTGGGCTACTGCTGCTTAGATATCAGTTGAAGTGAGTCTACATACCTCAGCTTCACACACAATAAGGTTGGAAAGATCCTGCCAGGAACAGGTTTGGCTAGTGAGGCAATGTTCCTTTCCTCTGATTACCTCCAGTAAGGGAAGGCTGAGGAGATGATTGACATGTGTTTTGAAAGCCGCCCCTTTCTGCTCTGAGGATTTATTTAAATGTTAATGTGGTGCAGTTCCAATATTGTGTTTTCAGTGGAGAAATACTGTAGGGAAGAAATGGTGCCGTGATCCCAGATGGAGAGCTGCTCTTTTAGCTTAATGCTGAGGAGCTCCCCTTATGGACACTAATGATGTGTCAGTCACCAAGCACATTTAGGGAATAGGATATTAGGGGCTCTATTTTAACAAACAAATCTAATCGCTGGCAGTAGCACTATAGGTCTGGAGGTATGTCCGATTTTTTTTGTTGCTATTTTCATAGCTGGGGCGGCAGGTAGGTAGCCTAGTGGTTAAAAGTGTTGGGCCAGTAAGTGAAAGGTAACTGGTTCCAATCCCTGAGCTGACTATTTGAAAAATCTGTCGATGTGCCCTTGAGCAAGGCACTTATCCCTAATTTCTACTGTAAGTTGCTCTGGATAAGAGCGTCTGCTAAATGTACATGTATGTTTTAGGATGTGCAGTATATTTTCAATTCAAAACAACGCATTGCTGTTGAACCAGCCATAGTAGCCTAGGCCTAAGGTAAGGTTAGCCTATAGAGGGCTTGATAGAAAATGGAAAACAAGCAATCTGTTTTTTAGAACAACAATAATATTTCTAAAGAGGATGGGGTCAGAAGCATGATATCATAAATCGCTTCTCTCATTCCATGGCATTGTGTGCACACGTCCCAGCTAGCACATCGGAGAACCATATGTTTCTTACAGCTTGGTGAGAGCGTGGTTGTCCCATGGTTATTTTGCATACAATCTTCCCACAACGTTCTGGGAATGGTGCAGGATAATTTATTGGCTTTGGAACATTCTCAGCACATTTAAGGAACTTGACAAAATAACGTTATGTTCTTGGTATTTCATTACTTTAACAGAATGTTTTGTAAAAGTTCAAACATGGTTACATTTAATTACATTTTTGGTAATGTTCTAGGAATGTTCTCTAAAGGCGTCAGCATGCTTCAGTTCGGCTGGCGGCTGACCGAAGTCGGCTAGCCGAATAAACGAGTGTGCTCGCATACTCCCTTAAAAGACCTTTGCTTGAAAAACAAGAAAAAAGCGGCAAAAGTACATTTTGTCCATTTTGAGACACTGTAGCCAGTATACACTTCCTCAAAATAATCTAAGATAATTTAAGAAATCTGTAATTCATTTTGACGGTTTTGCAGAGGAGATCTTAGTTGCACAATTTTACATCTAACTAAGATGTTTGGTGCAGTATTTCTCAATGAAAAGGTTTGTATGAAAATGAGTCATCTCTCATGGAATGACAACAAAGACTTTATTGAAGAATCCCTAATGCTGACCAATCACCGACGAAGGGGCGTAGACTTCGGCTCCGAACATCAGCTTGCCTCCGTAAAAAAAAATGGTGTGCCCAAACAGCCAAAGAAACCCTCACCGAAGTCCAAAATGAACAAAAACTTTGTAATATATGTACAAACTCTTCCGGCTGGGAAGCATGCGGATGCCTTAACTAGTTTGACATTGGGAATCTTCTCAAATAGTTCAGAGAATGTTAAGAACCAACATTCTCCTGTGGGAATTTTAATACTTCAGCATAACATTTCCACCTGGTTTTATTTACATTTTAGTCATTTAGCAGACGCTCTTATCCAGAGTGACTTACAGTTGGTGAGTGCATACATAAAACATTTTTTCATACTGGCCCCCTGTGGGAATCAAACCCACAACCCTGGCGTTGCAAACGCCATGCTCTACATCCCTGCCGGCCATTCCCTCCCCTCCCCTGGATGACACTGGGCCAATTGTGCGCCGCCCCATGGGTCTCCTGGTCGCAGCCTGCTACAGAACCTGGATTCGAACCATCTGGCACAGCTAGCACTGCGATGCAGTGCCTTAGACCACTGCGCCACTCGGGAGGTTAAAGTAATGTTAAAGTAATGTTCTCAAATTGTTCCGAAAACATTAAGAAACAATGTTCTTCTGTGGGAATTTCAGTACTTCAGCATAAGTTTTCTGCAGCTTTCCTCATGGTTTTATTTAAAGTAATGTTCTCAGAAAACATTAGTATTGTTCAAACATATACATTATTATTATTTATTATTATTATTATTTATTCCGTTCCGTCAACAAAACCTAAGAAAACATTTGAAAACTTTCCATAAAAACCATAAGAAAACTTTAGTAACGTTCAGAGAATGTTCTAAGAATGTTATTTAAAAACATATACATTCCGTTCTCAGCATCAACAAAACTCTATACTCTATCTTGTTAAGTGTGTTCAGGTGTGTTGGCCGCCCCCACTAATTGGCCACACCTGATCTTAATGAGTGCTTGTTTCCTTTGAAATGGGGTCTGTTTGAATAGACTAAAACAGCTTTGTATGAGTTTAAAAAAACATGACATGTTAGCTCCATCCTGGTGGTGCAGTGGACTAATCCCATGGATTAACCACAGAAGATCATAGGTTGAAATCTCAATGACGCTGTGCAACATTAAAAAATATATATATGTTTGCTTGATTAATGCCTAAGCAACTTCATTTCTATCTGTGCTTGGAGTTCTAAGCAGTTCAACTACGCTAGCAGTCTTATTAAAAGTCTTATTGAAACGTTTAAGGAAGCTATTCAAAACATCATAATAACCTATAATTTCCATTCTCAGAACATTAATAGAACCTCCCAGGAAAGCTTTCAGGGAACCATAGTAAAACATTCTCAGAACCTCTCAGAACAGACAACATTTTCACTTCCATTCTCAAAACATAAAAAAAAACGTTAGGTTTTACCGGTCAGGAAACGTATGGCTTTGTTCCCAGAACCAATGGGAAACCAAAAACGTATGTTCCCAAAACTTCCAAGGAACCAAACGTGCTAGCTGGGGTATGCATAAATGTCTTTACCATAACATTTGCACTTCTATACATAATACTAGGCTCCTGTCAATTGTATCATTGCCTATGTGCAAGGCAGATTCTCAAAAACAATCTGCCATTGACATGGCATTATAGGAGGCCTGAATAGTTTGGAGGAGCGCATCATTGGTAATCGGACGAGGGAAGCTATTTCAAAATGAGGATGGATAGCCTCCCACTGGGCACACACTGGTTGAATCAATGTTGTTTCAACGTAATTTCTATGAAATTACATTCAACCAACGTGGAATCGACGTTGAATTGACGTCTGTGTCCAGTGGGCAACTTGAACAAGATAAATTAAGTATGCAGGTATGTAAATTGTGAATAATGAAAACGCATGGGGGCAAAAGCCTAATATTTCAAAGCACTCTCAGTAGACCATTTAAACCCCCTTTATTTATAGGCTACATAGCTAATGGCCAGGATATAAAGACACACCTATGCGTTGCTGCTAACCCAGCATTGATTAAGGGGAGGGAAGGGTAGGCTATGCTTGGCTTTTAATCAAATTAAACGGAAAACCAATAGTTTTTCTAAATACGAGATTCACTAGCACAAAAGGCATATCTCTCTTCCATGGGCACTGTGTTTCCACTCTCAAAATCCATGCCATTATCAGCTGCGTTACCGTTAAGACCTGCTTTTTGTGGGTTTTAAAACGTTCCATTAGCGCTGCATGTCACTTTTGCGCTTGTTTTTAAGGACACACCTATAATATTGTAACCCCTCCCACCTCAGTGCAAGTGAGCTGATGTTAGGCAGGTAAATTGCCAAACCTGGCGTTAGTGTTGGAAAATGCCAGTGTGCCAGTTTTTACATAAGGAAATTGCAAACTAACATGCGTTTGACACTAGAGCCCTAGGAGTTAGAAAGTAGTATGTTAGATTGGTGCCAGTAAAGGTTTCCACTGGTGATAAAGATACACGCAAGCACAAAGGTGCTGCATGCCAGAGAGGCATTGGCAGAGCCCAGAAATGCCAGGGTCTTTGGCTGCCTCAGGAATGCCTGCCTGGCCTTGAACTACGCTCATTCCCAAGATCAGCATGAAAAAGTGACTCCCCTATAAACATCCAAGGAAAAAGCCAGGGAGAAAGTACTGTATGGAGGGAAAGGCCTTTCCAAAAGCCCCCAAAAAGATGTGGAAAGGATAGGCATTATGGAGGGTTAGATCAACTGTAAATGTATATTTTCACTGAACTGAAATGACACCAGACTGTCCATGTATGATCACACGGCTCAGGCTTAGGGCACTTCCGCCTACATCAAAACCAGACGAGATGCTCGTGCGGTGAACAAACCATCTGTGACACCTGATCTGTTTTGGTCTCTATCACCTTTGGTTTAAGAGACAAAGCAGGATGAAGGGAGGGAACCCAACCCCTTCTGTGTTTTCTCCATGGGGAACTTAAGCAATGTATTGAGGGTGGCATTGATCTTTACAAGCACAAAATGTTTGTGATTTTTCACCTGCACAAAGAGTGCGGGGTCACCGCTGTAACAGGTAGAAGTGGGATCGCTGGGAGACATGCCCCTACACAGATGGCTGCTGCTGTTGAAAGGAAAAGCTTAATGTTCACATGTCGTTCTTCCTCATTATCATCACCTAATGGTGTCACTGAATTTAATCACAGAGATGTATTCACACCGCAAAACCCATCTGTCTTCACTTCACAGTCAAATGTCATCAAGGTTAACATAATTTTTTATTCCAAGGTGTTTATTCATTCTTTCTGGAGTGTACAGTTTGTGTTTGCATTGGAAATGGATTGTGAGAATGATTCCTTGTATGCTCTGTGTACCATAGCGTAAACTGGAACACTCAGCATGGGGACTGTCAGAATAAGATATGTAGACATTCCATTAGTCTTCAGAGTATGTCCGTTTCGTGCACTGGAAATGCCCCCTCTCTGTCTCACTGCAAAGTGAAGTTATCAGTTTTATAGGGGATATCTTTAAACACAGACAGATCTGAGGACAGAGACTGCAGTGTTACTAAATCAGAGGCCAATTATGTCAAATAATTGTCTGTTTTGTTGCCAAGTCCTCTCTCATAGTTATACTGTTATTTATCATTGCTGTATGTGGTTCATCACAGTACACCTCTAATATAACTGCCAACTTGGTCTGGTCCTCTGCACATACAGTATATCATGTGTGGAGAATATATTGTACTGTGCCTTCAGAAAGTATTCATACCCCTTGACTTATTCCACATTTTGTTGTGTTACAGTCTGAACTCAAAATGGATTCAATAGATTTTTTCCCTCATCAATCTACACACAATACCCCATAATGACAAAGTCAAAATATGTTTTTAGACATTTTTGCAAATGTATTGAAAATGAAATACAGAAATATCTCATTTACATAAGTATTCACACCCCTGAGTCAATATTTTGTAGAAGCATCTTTGGCAGCGATTACAGCTGTGAGTCTTTCTGGGTAAGTCTCTAAGAGCTTTCCACACCTGGATTGTGCAACATTTGTCCATAATTTATTTCTAAATACTTAAAGCTCTATCAAATTGGTTGTTGATCATTGCTAGACAACCATTTTCAGGTCTTGCCATAGATTTTCAAGCCAATTTAAGTCAAAACTGTATCTCGGTCACTCAGGAACATTCTTCTTGGTAAGCAACTTCAGTGTAGATTTAGCCTTATGTTTTAGGTTATTGTCCTGCTGAAAGGTGAATTAATCTCCCATTGTCTGGTGGAAAGCAGACTGAACCAGGTTTTCCTCGAGGATTTTGCCTGTGCTTACTTCCGTTCCATTTCTTTTTTATCCTGAAAAACTCCCTAGTCCTTAACGATTACAAGCATACCCATAACATGATGCAGCCACCATTATGCTTGAAAATTTGGAGAGTGGTACTCAGTAATATGTTGTATTGGATTTGCCCCAAACATAACACTTTGTATTCAGAACGAAAAGTTCATTTCTTTGCCACATTTTTTGCAGTTTTACTTTAATGTCTTATAGCAAACAGGATGCATGTTTTGGAATATTTGTATTCTGTACAGGCTTTCTTCTTTTCACTCTATCAATTAAGTTAGTATTGTGGAGTAACGACAATGTAGTTGATCCATCTTCAGTTTTAAAGTCACTATTGGCCTTATGGCTGAAAATACAATAAAGGAGCTTGACAGGTCTCCCAGTGTCATTTGAATACTGCTGTGTAATGGCCCGCAACCGATCAGGCCTCCTACTGTGAGACCTGTCCAAATTGCAATAATAAGCTGCTGGCTAACTTCACTCTTTTTAAATCAAATTAGCCAGAGAGATGGCAGATTGAACAATTGGCTCATCTCCTTGTTCTCCCCCTCCCCTCTCTGCTTGTGTTAGATTCCCCTGGGTCACCCCTGTACTCAAACAGCATTACATGACAAGGCCTTTGACAGGACTGGGAGCACCAACTCACTACATTAGATAATGCTGTTTTTTTCCTTCGCATGGAGCAGGGGAGAGCAGAGCTCATTTTCAGATGTGACCATTGGCTGACTCATTGTCTTGAAAAACAGCCATTTATAATTCAATTAGATTTAAACTTAATATCCATTACATTTCTTGTACATTACTTTAACGGATCAAGCAGCCCCGGTCTAAAGGTCTTTCCAAATTAGGCAACAAGACAGACAACGTTATCAAACACTCTGAGGATGGTTTTATTGTCCTGTTACACAAGTATGTAATATAATTGTTATTTTTTTGCATATCCCAACTCCCCCTGAGACACCTGCAGGGAGTGCGGTCACAATTATACAGCACCCCTAGAGCAATTAGGGTTAAGGACCATGCTCAAGGGCACAGTGACAGATTTGTAACTTTTTAACCTTAGGAATGAATGTTAACAATTTCCCCCCCCCCTGCTTTCTGACAGGTCTGTCCTTCTTTCATTTTGATTCAAATGAAAAAAGACCATGTATTAGAATCCCATGCCATGAATCACAGTCTGAGCTCAGAGGTTAGAGCTGCACTGTACAGGATCCATGCAGTATGAGATTACACAAAGCCGATCCTATTCCATTTGGACAACTGGTGAGGGCTTCTTGGCAGTCAGAGCGATTTTTGTGCCATGCCAAGGTTTACTTTGTGCCTTTAATTTGACATTTTTTGTGGAAAGGCATGTTGCCATGTGTACGGTATGTACTTACAGAAGAAACACAAAGCTAAAATCTTTTCTCAACATCAGGCTATTTTGGAGTAGTAGCTACATTGAGCAAGCATGAATACACCCAACCCAGAGTATTTGACACATTGAGTGTTTTCACACATTGACACCCTTTATGTTCTCCTTTTGATCCATTTGATCACCATAATATCTGGTTTCTGTTCTCTCACTGCTAGATTTCAATTCACTAATGACACAGTGATGAAATTAGTGAGAGACTGGTATGTATCTACAATTGAGTGTATCCCAATGTGTTTGTTTGACACATCCCAGCTAGCACATTTGTTTCCTTGAAAGTTGTGGGAACATACGTTTTTGGTTTCCCCATTAGTTCTGGGAATGAAGCCATAAGTTTCCTGACCGGTAAAACTGAATGTTTTTTAAACGTTCTGAGAATGGATGTGAACATTTCGCCTGTTCTGGGAACGTTCATTTTTAGGTTGCAGGGAGGTTCTGAGAACATTTTACTATGGTTCACCAAATGTTTTCCTGGGAAGTTGTATTAACGTTCTGAGAACGTTAGGTAATTAAAAAACATTCTGAGAACATGTTTCAATAAGACTGCTAGCTTAGGTTAACTGTTTTGAACTCCAAGCACAGATAGGACACATTTAAATGTATTTGCTTAGGCATTAATCATGCAAACACATTTATTTTTTATTGTGGCACGCCATCAGTGAGATTCAAACCTATGATCTTCTGTTCTTTATCCATGGAATTAGTCTACTGTGCCACCAGGATGGAGCTAGCATGCCAAGTTTTTTTTTACTCATACGAAGCTGTTCATTTTAGTCTATTCAAAATTACTCCATTTCAAAGGAAACAAGCACTAATTAAGATCAGGTGCGGCAAATTAGTGGGCTTGGCCAGCACACCTAAACACACTCAATAAGATAGAGGATAGAGTTTTGTTGACTCTGAGAATGGAATGTATATGTTTTTAAATAACATTCTTAGAACGTTCTCTGAACGTTACTAAAGTTTTCTTGTGTTTTTTATGGAAAGTTTTCTTAATGTTCTCTGAACAATTTGAGGACATGACTTGAAATAGAACCATAAGGAAACCTGTAGGAAACGTTATGCTGAAGTACTGAAATTCCAACATAAGAACATTGTTTCTTAATGTTTTCTGAAATATTTGAGAACATTCCCAACATCAAAGAAGTTGGAGAAAGTTCCTAGAACATTACCAAAAATGTAATTAAATGGAACCATGTTTGAAATTTTAGGAAACGTTCTGTTAAAGTAATGAAATACCAAGAAGAAAAAAAATGTTTGTCCAGTTCCTTAAATGTGCTGAGAATGTTCCAAAGCCAAGCAACAATCCTGCACCATTCCCAGAAAGTTGTGGGAAGGTTGTATACAAAATAACCATAGGACAACCACTCTCTCACCAAGCTCTAAGAAACATATGGTTCTCAGAACGTTATGTGCTAGCTGGGATGCTAACAAACATCATAGCTAAATATGCTTTTGGCAGTGTGATGTGACATCTGACATATGCCAGACTGTGCAAAGTGCTAGGAAGAACAGTGTCTGTCATATGTAACCAACATAACTGAGGTTACCCCAGTGCAAATGTTTTGTATTGATTCCAAATGGTAGACCGACCTAAGGACCATCTGTATCTTTTGACTGTAACAGTTAACACTACAGTGTGGGATACAGCAGTCCTCAGCTGTTTAGTCATGACTGGATGTGTTAATGATGGAAGTCAATCAGCTAGCCCTGGGAGAGGACTTGAAAGAGCCCTCTGCGTTATCAGACCAAAGGAGCTGGTACTGAAGCATTTGCCAAAATAATAATTTCTCTTTCATGTCAGATGCACTTTGCCTTCATAAATATGCAGTTTGCCTTTGCAAGCCATTTCACAGCAGATGTGTTTTTGTAGTACGTGTTGTGAAAATGTGTTTTCAATGTTGGCCCTCTTTGATGCTAATTTGTTCCATTCATTAAAGCATTTTACCACTTTTTTGTCACAATCTGTTTACAGATGGGGATCCTTTTCAGAAATCAATTCTCATGACTGTACGGCCATTAGAGCTGTGTCACACTGGGGACAGCCTTGCTCTCTCTCTTTGTTGTTCTGTTCCCCTGCCTCTCCATAACACATTGACCAGTATTTATTACCCATATCCCCAGCCATAAAACTCCTTGTGCACCTCTAGAGGCTGTGCTGAGCCATTTGCCTAAGTGGGGACACCTGTTGTAAAAACAGCTGAGTAATGAGCATTGTGTCTGTGTGTGTGTGTGTGTGTGTGTGTGTGTGTGTGTGTGTGTGTGTGTGTGTGTGTGTGTGTGTGTGTGTGTGTGTGTGTGTGTGTGTGTGTGTGTGTGTGTGTGTAATGGAGCTCATCTGGCCCAGGACCCGTCCTCTGTACCAGGGTGATGGGTTGGAGTGACCACGATTTCTCCAGCAACATGCACCGCTAGTCTATTGTCAAGGCTGGGTGTGTTCAATGCTGTGGAAATGTTGATATTTGGTGCCAACATTTCGTGACTGACAACCTGAACATAAAACGTACTTATGGCTGTAGAGTAGAAGGGCTTAAGCTTTACTGCAACTATTTATCTACTGGTAACAAAACTGTCCGTGTTGACTGATATAGTACGACCATGAGAGTAAGCAGACACACTTGGGATGGAGGAGATATTGTGTTTTAAGTGTTTGTTATATCTAAACAAATCTCCTATCAAACTGGATTTGTTCAAGGCACAATGTCATCATAACTATCTTAGACAGGTGTTTATTCCGTTAAATTAGAAAGAGAGACTTTGCATCAGCGATTCCGTCTCACTCTCCAACTATTGCATGTTTCATCCAAACCAAGCAAAGGAGTGTTCACTCCTACATGATACACATATTACAATCTGTCAATATACACAGAACTTCTCAGTGAAAAGATAAATACTTTTGTACTTTCTCACATAGGGTCTATGTATCTGGTTATTTTGGTACTGATATAAAAATGTAGAGCACAAATCTTTTACCTGATTGATGATTAATTGACATATGGTTTGTTTCGAACTATCTGTATGCTGATGTAACAGTATTGCTTCCATCCCTCTCTTTGCCCCAACATGGGCTCAAACCAGGCACCCTCTGTACACATCAACAAGAGTCACCCACGAAGCATCGTTACCAATCGTTCCACAAAAGCCACAACCTTTGCAGTGCAAGGGAAACAACTACTTCCATGTTTTCAGAGCGAGTGACGTCACCGATTGAAACACTACTAGCGCACATCGCTAACTAGCGAGCCATTTCACACCGGTTACACTGTGAGGTTGCTGAAGGCTTTTTTAAAATCTCAAATCAAAGTTAATTGGTCGTGTACACAGATTTGCAGATGTTATCGAAGGTGCAGCGAAATGCTTACAGTGCAGTAATATCTAGCAATACAATAACAATAGAAATGTTTGCAAATGTATTGAAATTGAAATACAGAAATATCTCATTTACATAAGTATTCAGACCTTTGAGTCAATACATGTTAGAATCACCTTTGGCATCGATTACAGCTGTGAATCTTTCTGGGTAAGTCTCTAAGAACTTTGCACACCTGGATTGTACAATATTTGCACATTATTCTTTTTAAAATTCTTCAAGCTCTGTCAAGCTGGCTGTTGATCATTGCTAGACAGCCATTTTCAAGTCTTGCCATAGATTTTTAAGCTGATTTAAGTCAGAACTGTAACTAGGCCACTCAGGAACATTAAATGTTGTCTTGGTAAGCAACTCCAGTGTATTTGGCCTTGTGTTTTAGGTTATTGTCCTGCTGAAAGGTGAATTTGTCACCCAGTGTCTATTGGAAAGCAGACTGAACCAGGTTTTCCTCTAGGATTTTGCCTGTGCTTAGCTCTATTCCGTTTCTTTTTATCCTAAAAAAACTCCCTAGTCCTTGCCGATGAAAAGCATACCCATAACATGATGCAGACACTACCATGCTTGAAAATATGAAGAGTGGTACTACTCAGTGATGTGTTGTGTTGGATTTGCCCCAAACATAACGCTTTGTATTCAGGACATAAAGTTAATTTCTTTGCCACATTTTTGCAGTTTTACTTTCATTCTTAATTGCAAATAGGATGCATGTTTTGGAATATTTGAATTCTGTACAGGCTTTCTTCTTTTCACTCTGTCATTTAGGTTAGTATTGTGGAGTAATTACAATGTTGTGAAATCCCTGAGCGGTTTCCTTCCTCTCCGGAAACTAAGTTAGGAAGGACGCCTGTATCTTTGTAGTGAATGGGTGTATTGATACACCATCCAAAGTGTAATTTATAACTTCACCATGCTCAAAGGGACATTATGTCTGCTTTTTCTTCCATCTACCTATAGGTGCCCTTCTTTGCGAGGCATTGGAAAAACTCCCTGGTCTTTGTGGTTGAATCTGTGTTTGACATTTACTGCTCGACTGAGGGACCTTACAGATAATTGCACGTGTGGGGTACAGAGATGAGGTAGTCATTCATAAATGATGTTAAACACTATTATACCATGGCATTGTTGAATACTTTTTTCTGATTGGCTTGAAGGGCATTCTAGAGCATGCATTATTTCCCTATAATACACAGTATATTTGTACAGTAGAATTGAATGGCTATATAGTGAGGGGAAAATTGTATTTGATCCCCTGCTGATTTTGTACGTTTGCCCACTGACAAAGACATGATCAGTCTATAATTTTAATGGTAGGTTTATTTGAACAGTGAGAGACAGAATAACAACAAAAAAATCCAGAAAAACGCATGTCAAAAATGTTATGAATTGATTTGCATTTTAATGAGGGAAATAAGTATTTGACCTCTCTGCAAAACATGATTTAGTACTTGGTGGCAAAACCCTTGTTGGCAATCACAGAGAAAATACGTTTCTTGTAGTTGGCCACCAGGTTTGCACACATCTCAGGAGGGATTTTGTTCCACTCCTCTTTGCAGATCTTCTCCAAGTCATTAAGGTTTCGAGGCTTACGTTTGGCAACTCGAACCTTCAGCTCCCTCCACAGATTTTCTATGGTATTAAGGTCTGGAGACTGGCTAGGCCACTCCAGGACCTTAATGTGCCTCTTCTTGAGCCACTCCTTTGTTGCCTTGGCTGTATGTTTTGGGTCATTGTCATGCTGGAATACCCATCCACGACCCATGTTCCATGCCCTGGGTGAGGGAAGGAGGTTCTCACCCAAGATTTGACGGTACATGGCCCCGTCCATCGTCCCTTTGATGCGGTGAAGTTGTCCTGTCCCCTTAGCAGAAAAACACCCCCAAAGCATAATGTTTCCACCTCCATGTTTGACGGTGGGGATGGTGTTCTTGGGGTCATAGGCAGCATTCCTCCTCCTCCAAACACGCCGAGTTGAGTTGATGCCAAAGAGCTCGATTTTGGTCTCATCTGACCACAACACTTTCACCCAGTTCTCCTCTGAATCATTCAGATGTTAATTGGCAAACTTCAGACGGGCCTGTATATGTGCTTTCTTGAGCAGGGGGACCTTGCGGGCGCTGCAGGATTTCAGTCCTTCATGGCGTAGTGTGTTATCAATTGTTTTCTTGGTGACTATGGTCCCAGCTGCCTTGAGATCATTGACAAGATCCTCCCGTGTAGTTCTGGGCTGATTCCTCACTGTTCTCATGATCATTGCAACTCCACGAGGTAAGATCTTGCATGGAGCCCCAGGCCGAGGGAAATTGACAGTTCTTTTGTGTTTCTTCCATTTGCGAATAATCGCACCAACTGTTGTCACCTTCTCACCAAGCTGCTTGGCGATGGTCTTGTAGCCCATTCCAGCCTTGTGTAGGTCTACAATCTTGTCCCTGACATCCTTGGAGAGCTCTTTGTTCTTGGCCATGGTGGAGAGTTTGGAATCTGATTGATTGATTGCTTCTGTGGATAGGTGTCTTTTATACAGGTAACAAGCTGAGATTAGGAGCTCCTAATCTCAGCTCGTTACCTGTATAAAAAGACACCTGGGAGCCAGAAATCTTTCTGATTGAGAGGGGGTCAAAAACGTATTTCCCTCATTAAAATGCAAATCAATTTATAACATTTTTGACATGCGTTTTTCTGGATTTTGTTGTTGTTATTCTGTCTCTCACTGTTCAAATAAACCTACCATTAAAATTATAGACTGATCATTTGTTTGTCAGTGGGCAAACGTACAAAATCAGCAGGGGATCAACGACTTTTTTCCCTCACTGTAGTTCATTCTTACATGTTCTATGTTTGAGCTGCTTTTGAACGCAAAAGTCGAATTGAAAATATTATTGGCATTGTTGAATTCAATTTTCTATAATGGCAAGCTAGGACTGATGGTTTGGTTAGCTACACTAGCAAGTCTCCCGAGTGGCGCAGCGGTCTAAGGCACTGCATTGCAGTGCTAGCAGTGCCACTATCCTGGTTCAAATCCAGTCTCTGTCGTAGCGACTGGGAGACCCATGGGGTGGTGCACAATTCGTCCAGGGTAGGGGAAGGAATGGCCGTCAGGGATGTAGCTCAGTTGGTAGAGCATGGTGTTTGCAACGCCAGTGTTGTGGGTTCGAATCCCACGTAGGGCAAGTATTAAAAAATAAAAATAATGTATGCGCTCACTAACTGTAAGTCGCTCTGGATAAGAGCGTCTGCTAAATGATGTAAAATGTTTGTTTGGTTACCACAGCAACTACTGTAGCTATCTGGTAAACTTGCTAGCTACTTCAGTGGATGTTGAACACATTTTTACCTGCAAATTAACACATTTAATAGCGGCAAATATGTTAAATTATAGCCATGGTATAAATGGGATAATCAACTCAGGGCTCTATGCGTTATATGGAAAAGAATGCAACTCCGTGAAAGGTCAGTTCCACTCCGCCAGCGCGTCGTGGAACACACCTTCCACGTCATTTATAATTTTTTACATAGAACACATAGCCCCTCGTTGATTATCCCTTACTTATTGAACACAGAGTGAATCCCTGCAACTTATTATGTGACTTGTTAAGCACATTTTTACTCCTGAATTTATTTAGGCTTGAATACTTATTGACACAAGACATTTCAGCTTTTCATTTGTAATGAATTAGTAAAAATTAAAAAAAAACATTATTCCTCTTTGACATTATGGGGAATTGTGTGGGGTATTGACACAAAATCGAAATTGAATCAATTTTAAATTCAGGATGTAACACAACAGAATGTGGGAAAGGTCAAGGGGTGTGAATACATTCTGAAGGCACTGTACATGGCACAGCAGTCTCTAAGGTGCAGGGGAGTACCAGGTGGTAGCGGGCTAGTGACAGTGTATAATGTGCCAGGCAGAGTACCAGGCGATGGCCGGCTAGTGAAGGCTGTTCAACTGTCTGATGGCCTGGAGATAGAAGCTGTTTTTTCAGTCTCTCTGTTCCGGCTTTGATACACCTGTACTGTCTCTGTCTGCTAGATGGTAGCAGAGTGAACAGACTGTGGCTCGGGTGCCTAAGGTCCTTGATGATCTTCTTGGCCTTCCTATGACACCAGGTGCTGTAGATGTCCTGGAGGGCAGGCAGTGTACCCCCTGGTGATGCGTTGGGCTGACCACACCACTCTCTGGAGAGCCATGCGGTTCCAGGCGGAGAAGTTGCAGTATCAGGCGGTGATGCAGCCCGAAAGAATGCTCTAGATTGTGCATCTGTAGAAGTTGGTGAAATCAACTGTTCTCCTAGCTTTCTATTCCTCTTTCCAGTAAAACAGTCATTTCCTAGATGGCTGCCAATGAAAACAAATTAAAAAGTGTTATCACTAATCCAACAGATTTATACGTTGTTTAATGAGTAATTCTCCTTTTGGCTCTTTTCTGGCTATGATCAATTCTGATAATTTTTGCTAGGGTTTTGTACAAATTAATTAGTGGGTGGTGCTGTAGGTGGACAGTTTCCCTTAATATGAAGAGCACTTCTATCTTCCTGATACAGTAAAGTTCCTGCGTGTAAAGTTTTTCATATTTTAGCACAGTTGGGCCTGTATGCACATTTGACAAACCAAAGGAAGAATTTGAATGTTTTGGAGTCTGTTTCGTGTGCTCTTAGTCTTGACACAGACAATTTTTTTAAATCTTCACTGTAGAGTTATTCACCATTTGGATGCATAGTTAGCCATGCAATACATTTACTTTGTTCATCAAAGAAACTATTGAACTCATTTGGAAAGAAAGTCATCTGGAATAAATACAGACTTGAAGCTAGTGTCTTAAGCTAATTGTTCTTCATACTTTTGATCTCTTTTGTTTTGAGAAAAATAAATAGATTGTGTGAGAAGACATCTAGACAACATTAAGAAACAATGGTAATTAAAACAGCAAAATTATGACATTTATTGAGAAAACAACTTCTAAGCTAAACAGGCATACAAAAGTATATCACAGGTCTTACAGTGTGATTGACAGTCTTCTTGCGTATTTTCACTTAGTTGCTGCACAGATGTTGTTTATATGAATTGAGCAAGGTTGTTAGGATATTATTTTCAAATTGTATAATTGCAGCGCTTTGGATGGGTCCATTCTTGCAATTCAACTACAAGAAACAATGTGTGCTGTGCAGTCATTACAGGCCATTTTACTTTGACCGTCCATCCCAGACTCTGATACGGGTCCAGTAACATCCAAGTGTTGTTGTTTTTGGAGTCCTGACATTAATTACATTGTGTTCAGCCAGTCCCATGCTTGCAGTACCTGGCAGCTATGAAAGCTGTGGTTAGGGAAGTTGTTTTCGGGAAACCCTAACACACTCTTATACAAAGAAACAGCTCCAAATATACCACAGAGCACAGCAGTGGGCACAGGGCACAGGATCTCTCACTATTAATTAATAACAAGTGTTTCAGATCAGGGCCCTCATGGGCTTGCCTGGCTACCCAGACTCCTTGCTCTGGCCAAACGCTACGCCCACAGAAGTTAGTTTCTTCTCCACAATGAGTCTGGATCTGAGTACCTCCCTGACCCTTCACCGAATGCGAACAAATTCAGGGCCGTCTGATTGGTCCAGAAACATTACATTACATTACATTTACGGTTGGGCCAGAGCCAGAACACACATGGTGAAGCAGCAGTTAGAAAATGTGTAATTGGCTTTGATACTCTGATTGGTTAGAGACGATCCAATCGCTGATGACTGTTTAGTTTTGTACAACGCCCCTCATGCTCCTTGTCACCAAAACCGACTTCAATGATGGCAGTCTCAAGCTAAAGTATGTAGCAAACGACAGAGCAGCGGAATAATTTAGTGTGAGTCGTCAGGCTACTTATGGCCTTCATGGGCACAGTGATTGGTGTCCACATCAGCAACAAACTATCATGGTCCAAACACACCAAGACAGTCGTGAAGAGGGCACGACAAAGCCTATTCCCCCTCAGGAGACTGAAAAGATTTGGCATGGGTCCTCAGATCCTCAAAAAGTTATACAGCTGCACCATCGAGAGCATCCTGACTGGTTGCATCACCGCCTGGTATGGCAACTGCTCGGCCTCCGACCGCAAGGCACTACAGAGGGTAGTGCGTACGGCCCAGTACATCACTGGGGCCAAGCTTCCTGCCATCCAGGACCTCTATACCAGGCGGTGTCAGAGGAAGGCCCTCAAAATTGTCAAAGACTCCAGCCACCCTAGTCATAGACTGTTCTCTCTGCTACCGCACGGCAAGCAGTACCGGAGCGCCAAGTCTAGGTCCAAAAGGCTTCTCAACAGCTTCTACCCCCAAGCCATAAGACTCCTGAACAGCTAATCATTGCTACGCGGACTACTTGCACTGCCCCCCCCACCCCCACCCCATCTTTTTACGCTGCTGCTATTCTGTTAATTATTTATGCACAGTCACTTTAACTCTACCCACATGTACATATTACCTCAACCACCTCAACTAGCCGGTGCCCCCGCACATTGACTCTGCACCGGTACCCCCCTGTATATAGCCTCCCTACTGTTATTTTATTTTACTTCTGCTCTTTTTTTCTCAACACTTTTTTGTTGTTGTTGTTTTATTTTACTTTTTTATTAAGAAATAAATGCATTGTTGGTTAAGGGCTGTAAATAAGCATTTCACGGTAATGTCTACACCTGTTATATTCGGCGCATGAGGCAAATAAAATGTATCATGATAATGATTTGATTGGGATTTTTGAACATCTCTGAAAGTAATTTCTTTCTGAAAGTCTGTTTGAAAATATTCCTCTAACTTTTGGAATGTGACATATCCTCAGTTTTGCTTTCTTGAAAGTTGTTTTTATGACGCATGTAACACACAATGCTCTCAGGTTCTTTTCATTCCATGTCAAAACTTGGAAGAGAAGCTTCTCAAAGGATGGCAAACTCAAACTCTCTAATTGTGTTGTTTGACATAGCCAACGCAACTGCAACTAGGGTTGGAAAGGGAGGGTATATTACTGGAAACTTTAGAAGTTTACCAGTAAACTACCAGAATTGTATTATCTTTCAAGGATTTTATGTAATCTATCACAAGACATCTAGTGGCCCTTTTGGGTACTTCAGATTATCACAGGTGTCTGTAATCATCTCTGGCCCTCTGTGTGGCCTTCTCACATGTAAAATATATGAAATAATTAAATAAGATGATTTTAAAATAAAAAATATAATGACAAAGCTGTAAAACATTATCCTAAATATAAACCATCAACTTAGTGAATACCATTGGTGTTTATTATGAGGGTTTCAGCATGAAACACACTTTTATTTATTTTAATATGTCAAGATGTATTTCTTGTCAATGTTTTGGCGTCAAACTGGTCAATAGTTAGAAGAGTTGCAGAGGTAGTTAAAAATAATGCCATTGTTGATTATCTTTTCATTAATTAGGCTATTTTCTCTTGAACCATATGGTCTAGAAACTCATGTAACAGATATAATAAATGAATGCTATATATAAATTTAAATAAATAAAGTTATTCAAGTATAAATTACCAAAGTTACGATAGATTGTCATATATTTTCTCTTCATTACCAAAATTACTGAAGATTCCGGTAACTTCGGTAAATTACCGGTAGCTTTGCAACCCTAACTGCAACATACAGCAGTATAAACAATGAAAACCACCTTTAGAGATATTTTCCTCAAATCAGTAAAATTCCTGAGTCTTTAAATGATAATTACTCCCAGATCGCCTCCTGCTCGCCTGTGATACACAGACAATTACTTTTGGCATTTCAGATGTTTCACTCCTAACGTGTTCCAGATTTTATATCACTCATTAAAGTTTTTTTAGGAGAAAATCTATTTATGTCTCAAGACGTTATCTTGATACAGTACATATACAAGGAATGGAGAGATAATGTCTGTCCTCGCAAAACTATGCCTTCTAATTTTATGGACAGACTATTTTTAAATTGTATTTGTTGAGAGTAAATCATATTAATTTCAAGACAATAGCATGCTGATTCCTTTTCATATCAGTTGGGTTGAGCTTGTGTTAGGCACAAACCACCTCACGCTATATCCAATAATTTGCTCCGCATGCTTCTACAGTAATATATGACTCATGGGTTATCTGTAATTATACAACGGGTGGATCTAATCCTGAATGCTGATTGGTTAAAACCACATTCCAGCCGGTGTCTATTCCACAAGTTACCACCGGCTAAATCTATGACGTTAAAATGCCTATTTACTCTGTTCCATCTGACTGCATAATCCACTGTCTCATCAGCCCAGCCAGGCAATTTATAAACTTGATCTCCACTATAAAAGCATCTAGACATTATCGCACATTTCTTTTAGATTAACATTTCATTTTCAACAGTGAAGACAGACAGGTAGGCAGCGTTTCTCAGCCAATCAAAACCATGAATCAGCTGGCATAATTTTTATGAAATTATACTAAGAAATGTAAATTGAAAAAAGTTCAAACGAAACTAAGTGCAGCTAGTTTGAAGTCTTTCCAGCTTCAGTTTGAAGTGATTGTGTTTGCTGTGTTGTTGGCTAGCTCCTCTGAACAACAGTGTCCTGACGAGAGAGCACATTTTCTATGCCAGGCAAAATCGCAACTTATGGATGTGTCCAAATAAATGTCACTAGAAAACAGCTTAAACAAATGCAAATGCAGCTACTGTTGTTATTCTAGGTTCACTGTTTGATGTGACTATAAGTTTGCCGTAGTTGGCTAGCTAGCAAGCAAGGGATAGGAACTTTGCCAGCCAGTATGGCAATGGAACATTTAGAACAAACGACTGGGTCCATAGATACAGAACAAAAAGACTGAACGACTGGGTTGCGTCTCTGGCAACCGAACCGATAGAACGAACAACCAGGCGGCATGGGTAGTAACCCTAGATTTGTGTCGGGACTATATCTTGTGGAAGGATGAAATAGTATGAATAAATTCATCAAAATAACATTTTTTTAATGAAATATGTCAATCATTATTTGAATATGTTGGTAACCAGTAATAATGCCCTCAAAGCCTGTGTTTGGAGGATATATTGGCACGGTTTGTTAACAACACCTGTGCCAATATATCCTTCAAACAAGCTTCTCTGGCTTTATCACTTAATTCTGCAATCTAGACAAGGGGAAAGATGAGATGGAAAGATGGAAAGCTTTAAAGACATATCTTTGCGAACAGAAGTGGCATATCTTGTGCCAGGGGTGGAGTGTTTTTAACCTGTATCGAACTGCATCTGCACATACCTCTACTTGTTTGACTCTAACTGTATGTACTATCTCTTTCAGAATCACATGGAAACAAACGGAAAGAAAGGAAAAAAGGTAAAGTTCACAAATTCTACCCTTAAAGGGAAAATTCTCTCAAAAACTATTTGTGTGTGTTTTTTTCATTAGTCCACTGATAATACAGTCCCAAAATATGTTGCATGTCAGCAGTCAAGTTTTCAAGATATTGGACTTTCAAGAAGCAAAGTGTCACCAGCAACATCATCATGATGATGCTAAATTTAAGTGAACGCTTCCATTGCTACAGGTGATGGTGCGGTGAGGAGGAGGTTGTTTGGATTTTCATTTATGTCATAGTATTCACTAATTCAGATTTCTTTCCATGTCTTATTTTTTTTAGGCAAGAAAGGCCCTCCGGGTGCACCTGGTCCCCCAGGCCCTCCAGGGCCACAGGGGCCACCAGGTATTCCTGGCATCCCAGGTATCCCTGGGAACAATGCCATGGGTCCCTCAGGACCACCCGGACCGCCAGGCCCTGCTGGACCCCCAGGGCCACAGGGACCCCCTGGTCTTCAAGGACCCTCAGGTACGGCCTCAGTTTCATTCCCTTTGGCCCAAATCCTGATTTGAGATGTATTTGTGTTTTTCAACCTTTCATTTAAAAAAACTGACAGTGTAATTGTTTTCTAATCTGCACAGGGGGCAGAGTCAGAGATAGCCAGGTATGTTAACCTTTCAATGTTTTGATAATTAATTGTATTTATGTATGTCCACTTTTCCAGGAATGTATTCTTTCTTGTTGTGTTACAGCCTGCTGTGGTACATCTCCAAGGCCAGGAAACAACAATACAGGTCAAAGAAGGTAAGAGTTAAATTTTAGACACTCTGGTCACATCACTTAATGGCTGAAAACAAGTCACATTTACAGTCCGAAATAATTCTTAAGAAGTATCTTCTTTGTTATTAGTTCTTCTAAGAATAGATCTGAATAGAAGGTCACGAAAACTATGTGTGCGCATCGATGGGGCAGAAGTCTGTGTGTTGAAATGATTCTGGACAGTCAGATAGCTGTTTTGCTCCACAGTTGCGCACACATTGGTTTTGTTGCTAAACAGCCCACCCGTCTATAAGTTAAAACATGAATTCACTGCATTTACTGTAGTTTCTTTTTTGACAATGCAACAATGAAGAACCCTGTCTGTAATTGTATGGCAACGACGGATGTTAAGTGACTGCCCTTTTCTCACGCTGAGATCTTTCAGAAGGCGTACTGAGAAACTGGAAAATGATATCCATGCATCACAAGGTGTTCAAGATGCACTCGCGGTCTGGGGAGCTAGAGGTGCTGGTAGATGGCACCTACTTCATCTATAGTCAGGTAGAAGTGAGTATGGTCTTGGGCCTAACTCTTCCTATCGCCTGCATGTCACTCGTCCTTTCTCTCTGCAGTCCCAGTGGATTATGCTATCTCAATGGTTAGCAAGGTCAAAATATCTAAGTTGACTATGGTAAGGCCTAACATACTAAGGCATAATCTATAATGACTCCTTATCTTATAGTCTAAACTTTCTTATTCAGAAATCCAAATTAGATTTCCCCATGAAATGACTTTTGCAAGTATTTCATTGAAATTATCTGGCATACTGTAGGCTACATTTCTCAGAACCCAGTTGGTTGATTTTGCCAGTGCTCTTGGCTGCAGAGGGAAATGTCTGGATGAGTGAAGTAAATGTATTGCATGCCCTTCAAAGTGATCCACCTTGTACAAAGTGTATCATATTCTGTAGTAATTTGCCCAGTTTGCCTGCTATATCTCATTGTAAATAAGTTGTAAATAAGTTATATAAGTAGTCTGTATTATCTGCATGCTCACACTCTTACTTTGAACCAAAAAGGGTTCTTCAAAGGGTTCTCCTATGGGGACAGCTGAAGAACCCTTTTTGGTTCTAGATAGCACCTTTTTTCTAAGAGTGCATATTTGTGTTATTCCCTCAGAATTAAACACAATATTTATGGAATGTTTGTCTCCACATAACTTTTACTGCCAGGTTTACTACCTCAACTTCACTGACATTGCTAGCTACGAGGTGATGGTGGACAAGACGCCGTTCCTGCGCTGTACACGGAGCATCGAGACGGGACAGCGCAAGTTCAACACCTGCTACACGGCTGGGGTGTGTCTGCTACGTGCCCGGCAGAAGATCTCCATCAGGATGGTGTACGAGGACACCTCCATCAGCATGACCAACCACACCACCTTCCTGGGGAGCATCCGCCTCGGGGAGGCCCCCCCAGCCATCCACTCCTGAAGAGGCAGACACAGGCCCACCAAACTGCCTGTCAAACCAGGACCCAACCCTCAACCAGCCCCAACCCTCAACCAGCATATCCATATATGGCTTGGGGGAGACTCCACCGACTCTACTCTGCCTCTACAACCATCACCACCACCTATCACATATCGACCAATGAGGAGATGAGGAGGCCCACCTACTCCTGAGATGACATGTACAGTACATACAGTATCCACCCTCAGCCTGGGCCCCGCCCTCAGGCTACTACTGAGCTGATAAGCCCCACCCTACCTGATATTAGGGAGATGACCTGGTGTAATGATATTAACCCACTGCCTGTTATCTCTGAGTGGAAGATTCTTTCCAAAGAGCGATGATGATGACTCTGATCTTCGGTGCTGATGATGGACAAATATGCACCCAACTTGTCAAGCATTAAGAAAGGGAGGAGTTGCTGATTTTTGAGGAAGAAAAATACATTAGGCTTTACTTTTAGAATAGTGCATTTATAGTGAATAACTTGGTTTCCCTGATCATAACATGCTTGAGAAACCAAGGTTGACAGGAGTCAGTCACGTCTCCACTAAAATAACTGTCTGTCTCATGGCAAAGTACATAAAACACCTGTTATACATTATTAAACACATTTAGAATGCTTGTTTTTATCTACCAAACCCAACTTATTTGGAGAAGTGAAAGTGATTATTGGTGTGGTATCAATCCATTGAGTCATATAGGCCGTTAGGTAACATGGGTACATACTGTAAAAGCTTTTGAATACAATATAGAAATACAATGTGTGACCGTTCTCTGATGAATTGAACATGTACAGCTGAAGCACAAACATTTCTCTGTTAGAATGTGCACTGATTAAAACAAATTATTGATCTGTAGGTACATATACAGTGGCTTGCGAAAGTATTCACCACCCTTGACATTTTTCCTATTTTGTTGCCTTACAACCTGGAATGAAAAAATGTTTGGGGTTTGTATCATTTGATTTACACAACATGCCTACCAACTTGATGATGAAAAATATTTTTTGTTGTGAAACAAACAAGAAATAAGACAAAAAAACAGAAAACTTGAGCGTGCATAACTATTCACCCTCCCCCCCCAAAGTCAATACTTTGTAGAGCCACCTTTTGCAGCAATTACAGCTGCAAGTCTCTTGGGGTATGTCTCTATAATTTGGCATAATCTAGCCACTGGGATTTTTGCCCATTCTTCAAGGCAAAACTGCTCCAGCTTCTTCAAGTTGGATGGGTTCTGCTGGTGTACAGCAATCTTTAAGTCATACCACAGATTCTCAATTGGATTGAGGTCTGGGCTTGGGTCCAAGACATTTAAATGTTTCCCCTTAAACCACTCGAGTGTTGCTTTAGCCATATGCTTAGGGTCATTGTCCTGCTGGAAGGTGAACCTCCGTCCCAGTCTCAAATCTCTGGAAGACTGAAACAGGTTTCCCTCAAGAATTTCCCTGCATTTAGCGCCATCCATTATTCCTTCAATTCTGACCAGTTTCCCAGTCCCTGCCGATGAAAAACATCCCCACAGCATGATGCTGCCACCACCATGCTTCACTGTGGGGATGGTGTTCTCTGGGTGATGAGAGGTGTTGGGTTTGCGCCAGACAGAGCGTTTTCCTTGATGGACAAAAAGCTCAATTTTAGTCTCATCTGACCAGAGTACCTTCTTCCATATGTTTGGGGAGTCTCCCACATGCCTTTTGGCGAACACCAAACGTGTTTGCTTATTTTTTTCTTTAAGCAATGGCTTTTCTCTGGCCACTCTTCCGTAAAGCCCAGCTCTGTGGAGTGTACGGCTTAAAGTGGTCCTATAGACAGATACTCCAATCTCCGCCGTGGAGCTTTGCAGCTCCTTCAGGGTTATCTTCGGTCTCTTTGTTGCCTCTCTGATTAATGCCCTCTCTTGGCAGGTTTGTTGTGGTGCCGTATTCTTTCAATTTTTTAATAATGGATTTAATGGTGCTCCGTGGGATGTTCAAAGTTTCTGATATTTTTTTATAACCCAACCCTGATCTGTACTTCTCCACAACTTTGTCCCTGACCTGTTTGGAGAGCTCCTTGGTCTTCGCTTGCTTGGTGGTGCCCCTTGCTTAGTGGTGTTGCAGACTCTGGGGCCTTTCAGAACAGGTGTATATATACTGAGATCATGTGACAGATCATGTGACACTTAGATTGCACACAGGTGGACTTTATTTACTAATTATGTGACTTCTGAAGGTAATTGGTTGCACCAGATCTTATTTAGGGGCTTCATAGCAAAGGGGGTGAATACATATGCACGCACCACTTTTCCGTTATTTTTTTAATTTAGTTAATTTTGAAACAAGTAATTTTTTTCATTTCACTTCACCAATTTGGACTATTTTGTGTATGTCCATTACATGAAATTCAAATAAAAATCCATTTAAATTACAGGTTGTAATGCAACAAAATAGGAAAAACGCCAAGGGGGATGAATATTTTTGCAAGGCACTGTTTCCCTCTCCCTCCCTCTACCTCTCTCTCTCTCTCTGTTAAATAACAAGGTCTGTATGAATGTTTCTTTTATGTTTGAAATGAAGTTGTTTGTCAAATATGGAATCACCCAGATTAATACTGTAGATGTATTTTTCCAAATTACTAACATGACCTAAAATGCCATTATTCATATTATTATGTTGACCGGTCATGATCACAAGACTTGTCATGGACGACATTATATTTCTTTGCTTTATTTAGTTCTGCTTTGGTTTGTTTGAAAAACCAATTTACTTGTCATTCCCTTTGATCTGAACCAGTCATGTCCTGTTTCTGTGAATATCACACACAGTCCAAACATTTTCCAGCATATAACTCCTTTGCATGTTCATGTTTATATGTGCGTGAACACATTAGTCTTTAAGGAAGCATTTAAGGGCACAGATTATCTGTCAACATGCAGTTTCTGGATGTTTATGAAACTGCTCTGCACTGTGCATGTATTACAGGGTTTGGTCAATCACCATGCAGTCAACCTTCTGGAAAATTGGTGACAAAAGCAGAATCAAGTCCAGTTGTTTTGAATACATTTGAAAACAGTTATGGCAGGAAAGATAGATAAGACCCTTACCAAGGGATGTTCAAATGTATTACTTTTCAGTTATAATGGAAATTCTACATCATCCATAATGTCTGCAATAAGAGTTGGTATCAAACATTAGAAACATGACAAAAAGGGCAGTGAGTATACCATGGTCTTGTAGTATTAATTTAGTTGTGTAGCAATCAGAAATAGTTTGGTTCAATTCAGTGCTTAGAATGGTTAATTTTCCAATTCATGCTTTGCAATTCAATTCAATGCCTGAGTCAAGTTGAGTCAAGGTAAAATTGGCCCAAACTCTGGTAGCTAGAGTCCTTTAAATCAAACATTGTTTAGTTGAAGTGTTTCAATACATTGTGGTATGTATTGTGATATGCATTATTTGGATTGTTTGTAGGTAAATAGGGTATATTTGTTTCCCTGCTTTGTTGAATAATATGTACATTTGTATACTCTGTTGTGATTGTAAATATGTATATAAAATAGAATTCTGTTTTTGTAAATTGAATTGATTTATATTATTATTTTAATTTATATAACATAGTATTTTGTAACAACGCTTATAGCAGTTGTTACAACAACAACAACAAAAGAGAACAACTAAAAAGATTATCCTACTGTATTGACATACTGAGGTATATATTGCCTCTTGAAAATACAGCAAATATACTCTATGCAGCTTACAGCAAATTACTTTTATCAGGTTTGATGCAGGCTAGATGCTGTTTCCTTTTCTCCCATGGGGGCCATGGACATACTTAGTGACTGTGTAAGCGTAACCTCAATCAACCAGCGTTACCAACACACTCCTTTTCACCTCATTTATGACTTTATTTACTTAACAAAAGGAACATCTCAATAGGTGGTCCAGGTATCCTCATGACATGGCACTATTGCTCCTCTATTGTTCCCGCAAGCAAGGGGGGAGGCTGATGAAATCAAAGTGCAACTCCTTGAATGGCCAACACCCTTGAATGGCCAACTCCTTGAATGGCCACCTCCTTGAAGTTGGCAGTTGTGTCTAAAAAGTGTGTGTACATAAATGTATATAAACTTAGGATATAATTTTTCAACAGGAAAAGTTCAAAAATAGCTGGTCCATCTTTAACATGTGTTTTTTTGTCATCTGATCAAGATGATACAATCACGCTCTGATTGAGACAGTAGATGTGGATTCTATGGCACTGGGATGTCCATCCTTCTGCTCCACCACTACCAGAAATTCACATCTGTATTGTCTTTCCACAGAGCTAGACTGGGCTGGGGCCTCCCTTTACTTGTCTGCAGATCAAGGACAGTGAAGGAACTGTTCACATCATTAAATTAAGCAGCAAAGGAAGAAGAATGCGTAAATGTACAGCATAATGCCAGCCTGTCTAATTACAACTATGGAGCCGTTACTGGAGCCACATTTTGTTGATGTACAGTGCCCCCTTTTGGTAAGAAATCATATTCAGAAAAGTTTAGCAACAGAGAGGACTCATTACTAAAGTTTAATCAATACACACACTTGTGGCATAGGAGCATGTATTTGAGTACCATCTCTAAAATATGAGAGAATATTTGGTAAAAACGCAATAATGATTGAAACTCACTCTTAACTTTGGAACCCTTATTTGATATGGGGAGAACCAAAATATTGGACGAATTGACATTTTTTCAGGTCATTTTGAAATAAATTAAAATCAATGCCTATTTGCTGTTATCAGTTGTAAATGTGCCCTTTTAGAAAATACTTCAAACGTCTGCCTCTCCAACACCCAATACACACTATCTGTCATTTTGTGGGTGTAGTCAATACTCTCATTCCTTTGGTGGATTCCACGAATAAGCATTCTAAGAGGAATGAAAAGAGAAACAGGAAGGGCAAGCCTTTGCATGCCAGCTCACACCTCAAAATGCACCTTTCATAAACATGAATTATTTCTCACCTCTCAAGACTCCTAACACCCAATCCAAAGCTGGGGATCCAACAAAAGGAAGGATTTGCTTTGGGGTAGAATAGTTCTCCCCAGGTTCTTACAGCAGAGAGAGGCGAGAGGAGTGGCTGTTCCGGGGGTAGGGGAGTGACAAATAAACTCCCCTTCATTTCAGAATTACATATGGTAGGTGAGCACAAGACATAACAACCTGGACTCAGGGGTAGACGTAACATAATAAAGTAAATCCGGGACCCTCCAAATATTATGATATTTACATTTTACATTTACATCATTTAGCAGACGCTCTTATCCAGAGTGACTTACAAATTGGTGCATATGATATGTTACGTTTCATATGGTATGTATTCATTTGTGGATGTCCATCAAACCCCTTTCGTATATGTTAAGAATGACAATTTGTATGCAATGCACGAATTTGCTAAACGTATGATATGTTATGAATTCCAATTTGTTGTGGCTAATGTTAGCTAGGTGGTTAGGTGGCTAACGTTCGCTAGGTGGCTAACGTTAGCAAGGCTAGGGGTTAGGGGTTAAGGTTAGGATAAAGGTTAGGGTTAGGGGAAGGGGAAGGGTTAGCTAACATGCTAAGTAGTTGCAAAGTAGCTGCTAATTAGCTGAAGTTGTCCATGATGAGATTCGAACACACAACCTTTGGGTTCCTAGTTGTTCACGTTATACACCTACCCATCCACCCCGACCAACCATCCTACTTTAATTTTTGCCTTAAATAACCTTCTGTCTTATCTAACCGCACCAAACGTAACATATACACATTTGCGTGTCCCGGATTTACGTTTACTATGTTACATCTAGTCTATGAGACCAGGCTGGACAAAAGTAGCTCACAGGCCCCACTGGAGAGAAAATTCAGATTGGACACCAGTTTTGTTTTGACAGTGAATATTTTGTTTCTATAATGAGACTTGGAGTTAATCAACCAAGTGTAATATGAGTTGCAACATGGGAACAAGCAATCAGCCAAAGAAAAATCGTACAACCTTAAGCATAAAGAAAAGCATTGAACTGATAAAACAAAAACAGAAGATATGCTGAAGCTACAATATGAGCCTCAAAGAAGGAGGTGATGTGTTGCTGATAGACTGAGCTTGATGAGACAGACAACCCTTAGCACACAGTGGTAGAAATGTGCTGCTGTTCAGGGGCCTTTCTAGTTTTGGAAAATCAGTCATCTCACCATGGGGATACAGAGCATTTATCTTGTTTTGGCTGTAAACAGGAATTATGGTTCTGCCAGAAGGTTCTAGGATAGGCTACTGAGGAAGAAATGGTATAGAGTATATCAAAGCACAAATATGAACATATTACATGCACAATACTGAATCGCCATCCTTTGCTGATTATTTGTGAATAGATTAATACAAATGCAAAAGCAATGATAGTGAAATTAACAGTGGCGAGAGCACTGGACGCCTAGTCCCTTAAAAAATATATATGTTTAATTACCTCTACATGTTCCCATTGACAGTATTCTGGTAAAGCCTTAACATAAGACTATGTCTAAGAGAAAAGTCAGGCTCTCTCATGGAGAGAATATAATAGGGGTTAGATAGACACAATTTTGAATAATCTTCTCACTAAGGCACACTGATGTCCCCTGGAAACCCTCTTTCAACCACTAATCCTCTGCTCATACCACATGTAGATAATTAACCATTTATACTCCCTTATTTGACCATGCCACTGAAATCCCAGTTTCTCATTCCCTGTTTTCTTTGTTGATAAGGATTAGTGGGTAGCCTTTATTATAAGTCTAGAGGCTATAGTGTGATTCTATCAGGGAGACTAATGTGTATAGCACACATAAACACACTTGAAAAACGGATAGCATCAAAGTATATCTGTCCTGTATTGGTTGTAAGAAGAATTTAGTCCCTCGATAATGGCCCTTGTTAATTGGATTAGTTGAGCTAATTGTTTAGTATGTCAATCCGTCAATCGTTTTCGTTCAGTGGTTAATCTTCACAAACCATGCGTGGATCAATCGTTTTGTTTGTCCACTAATCTAACGTAGATCAAACATAACTGGCTTCGAGGCCTTTACATGCCTACATATAATCTACCTGTTTAATTTCTTGATGAACACTTAGGTCAATGAACAGCATAGGACATGCAAAATGAGGGCTCGTCAGGGACTTGAACCCGGGACCTCTCGCACCCTAAGCGATAATCGTACCCCTAGACTAACGAAATTCAAAGCGTTGTAAATAAGTAAACCATGAAAATGTGGTTGTAGTCCAATGTAAAGCCATAGGTAGAACGTTGTAATGTCACTTTGACGCGCGTGTAATCTGGACATCAATCACGGATCTGCGCTATTTCAGCTATTTAGGGAGGTCAAATTATCAAGGTTATTCTCATATTTCATGGACTGTATACAAAATAGGCTTTCAGATATCATATGAACACAGAGATCGAACAGAATTGTTATATTATTGTAAAATTGTTAAGAATATTTTACTGGCAAAGGTTATGTTGTCAGATTGTCACATAGATTTAGATTAGATTAGAATGTTGCAGATGTGTTTTCAAAGGAAATCTTCCAAATACATTAGCCAGGGCTAGTTAATAGAAGTGTTGCATATTAATGAATGGTTTAGCACGCTTTAGCCTACATGTCTAACACTTTGTGTGGCTGTCGTTTAATCAGTCATGATTAATGGCACATAGGCTAACCAGTATTGTAACAACAACAACATAAATGTAGGGAATATCTTTTGAAATGCATAGGCCATATATATATAGGATAACTGCTAATAGGCATATGTTACAGTCCATCCACATGAATTCACAAAATTAGAATTTGATCCGTGTAGCTGTGCCTGTGTTCATTCAATGGTTCATTCACAAATCGCCAATTTAATGGGGCGTGGCTATCGTAGCGGGCGACATAAGAAGACTCCCTTGAGCGGAGGTCACACCACCAGTGGCTTGCATCTTATAGTAGGGCCATACCTCCAGACCGCATAGGCTAAATAAAACAATACTATCACTGGTTAATCACATCGGACTACTAAAGGAGTCGTTTGGATCTTCATTTTTATTTTAGGCAGAGGATTCACGATTTTTTTTTACAATGAAATTCCACAAGGACTTATTTCTATTGACATTTATTGTGAACGCGAACTGCTGTGCTGCTATATATTGGCTGTAAGTATTCCATTAGTATGTAGTTATATGTCAGATGAAATCAAAGTTTATTGGTCGCATACACAGTTTTGCAGGTGTTATAGCAGGTGCAGAAAAATGTGCAGTAGAATGTCTAGCAAATACAATACCAATACACAAATAGCCTAATAAAAAAACGAAAGAAATCAAGAAATGTCAGAACGAGTCCAATTAACAATCCAAAGTAGATGTATTAGAGTGAGCAGTGTCAGAATCAAGAATAGGCCTATAGCCTAAATATAAATACGTGGTGTGTATAGACAGTATATCTTTTTGGAAAATAAAATGGTATGTAAAGTAGTAGGTATATTAGGATGAGCTATGTCGAGAATACAGTATATAGCCCACATACACAGTGAGTAAACAACAGTATATAAACAGTATATGAAGTGACCAGTGTTCAATGTCGGGCTATCTATTCAGAGCAGAGGCCTATGCTGCTATGCTACCTTGTTTACATACTGTTTTACCCACTTCATATGTATATACTGTATTCTAGTCAAGGCTCATCCTATATAACTACTGCTGTACACAGCATTTCTATTCATATAATGTCCATAATGTCCATAATGTCCAATAATCGTTCTAATATTTATATATTTCTTAATTCCTTTATTTTATTTTCGGGGTATTTGTGTGTATTGTTTTGTATTGTTAGGTATTACTGCACTGTTGGAGCAAGAAACATACGCATTTCGCTACACCCGCAATATCATCTGGGACATATGTGTAGCCTACCCTACCAATAAAATTGTATTCGATTTATTGAAAAAAAAATCCAGACTTGTATTTGTTCATTTGATACACATATATGCCATATGAAATAGCTGATGACCTAATTCAGTGTTTATTTAAAAAAATATTTGCAGTGGACTCACTGTAAATGGAAGCTCTTTAGGCTGGAATCAAACTAATCATTGCAAGCTGCTAGACGCGTTGGCCCATGATCAATTGCAAATTTGTCGGCGAAATCTCGAGCTGATGCACAGTATTGTCCACGCGGCCAAGATGACCAAAAATACATGTCAGAACACCTTCGGTGACATGCGGTGGAACTGTTCCTCTGTTGAAAAAGCCCCTCGTTTTACACCGGATTTAGCAAAAGGTAAGCTAAAGAAACTTTGGAAATGTAGGCCTATCTTGAAAATGTTAGAATATATTGTGGCCAGTAAAATTCTGTGATTTGGGATTTTCTGTGAATAACTGTTGAATATGCTGTACTGAAGGAACCAGGGAGTCCGCATTTGTGTTCTCACTAGCTGCTGCCGTAGTGAGTCACTCCATCGCCAGAGCCTGCTCTTCTGGAGAGCTCCCCAGTTGCTCGTGCGCCCCAGCCCCTGCTGAACAGGCCGGGCCCGACTTCAAATGGGGAGGATGTGGTGATAACCTGCGCTATGGTCTCCAAATGGGATCTGCCTTTTCTGATGCACTGATGAGAAACAGCAAATCTGGCTCTCAGCCGTTCAGACTGATGAACTTGCACAATAATGCAGTTGGAAGACAGGTAACGGTCGAATTTTTACGCACTTCTCACAATGACATGAACGGTTATTGTGCCATTGTTTTTCATGGCATTCCTTTTGGCTCAACATGATAAACAACATATTATATTCTATAATGCATATTCGCAAAACGTGGCAACACATTTTAATATTCTTTTTGCTCTACTTTCAGGCACTTATTGATGCCCAGGAGACCAATTGCAAATGCCACGGGGTGTCCGGATCCTGCTCTGTCAAAACATGTTGGAAGGGCCTCCATGATATTAACCACATTGCCATGGATCTCAAATCCAAGTACCTGTCTGCCACCAAGGTGATCCATCGTCATGTTGGGACAAGGAAGCAGTTGGTCCCCAGAGAGTTGGATTTTCGACCAGTGAGAGAGAGTGAGTTGGTCTACCTGGTCAGCTCTTCGGATTACTGCACACACAATGAGAAGCATGGCTCACTCGGTACACAGAACAGGTATGATTGTGTTTCTCTCAATGTAACAGTGGAAATTGTCATTTTTACTGTACCTTTGACACTTCGAAGGTCGAAATATGTTGATCCTCTCCCATATTTATATTTTTTATTTATATAGTGTGGTTTATTGATTGGAACATTCTTTTTTTGTCTCCAGACAGTGCAATAAGACATCCAACAACAGTGGGAGTTGCAATCTAATGTGCTGTGGTCGCGGCTACAATGCCTTCACTGAGAGAATTGTGGAGAGATGCCAATGCAAGTACCACTGGTGCTGCTATGTCACCTGCAAGAGGTGTGAAAGGACAGTGGAGAGATATGTATGCAAATAAACGTTGCCCAGAGACACTTGAGTAAACATGAAGCACTATTTTCACCACCATATCTTGTCAAGCTGTGCTGGCCCAGGTCACCTGACCTGACTCCCTGTGTAGTAGTAGGTAGCCTGCAGGCTACAGTACAATAAAAAACAAGAGGAACAACTCACACTACCAAAGATAAGCGGATGGATCTGGACTCCAACGTTACCTGTTTTAAAGAGACTGGGGGAGGGCACTACTGTGAAAAATATTGTGTTACTTGAAGAGAAAATGTGATTGATTGAGAGCTGTTAGCTATTCATGCTTGATTAGTAAAATGTTGCTCAATAGAAGACAAGTTGAATACATGACAAAGGAGGTGAATCACAACAAAGACTGCTCAGAAGGTACCCTAAATGCTAACCGCCCAGTCAGCTTTAAGATGTCCAGCTGACAATGAAAAGCTTTTAACAATTTACATATTACTCATTAACTAAATTGCCAATGAGATGCAGAATTACTGATTGATCTAATTTGAATGTCCATTGTAGTCAAAAGGGGCTACTGCCATATACTCCTCAGCTTAGGTATATTCTGATCATAGGCATGCAAAACACAAATTATCAACAGAATACATTTGAGCTGTATTTTTAGTTTTTGATTAATATATTAGGCATGTTGATGTACATAAGTGCAATTTTATATTTATTTTTATTAAAACCCTACACAAAAATGTGACATGTGTCTTGTTTAGTTTTAACCATCTTGTATGAGACTGCCTGTGGCAGGCCTCATTTGCCTTTGGGCAAACCAATAGTAACGGTAGTATTTATGCCGCAGAGGCTGTAGTAACATGACACAATAGCAAATCTACACTTTCATTCCTTCTACGGAACGTCAGGCTCATGCTGTTTATACCATCCACAGTAGCTAAAAGGTCAATAGTGGTACTTCAGTCTCAGAGAAAGATTTAAGGCAAGTGCCTCAGCTGCCTCATCATTATTCGTTTTAAAGATTGATTACTATTATAAACAAGAAAATTACATAAATACTGTAAAACAAAATTGTAGGGAATTGGTCAGTGGTCACTAAATATAAAGGTTTTCTTTCTGTGTTGGAGTATTTTGTATATGATTGATGGTTGCAGCCCATACAGTGTGGAGAACAAGTATTTAATACACTGCCGATTTTGCAGGTTTTCCTACTTACAAAGCATGTAGAGGTTTGTAATTTTTATCATAGGTACACTTCAACTGTGAGAGACGGAATCTAAAACAAAAATCCAGAAAATCACATTGTATGATTTTTAAGTAATTAATTTGCATTTTATTGCATGACATAAGTATTTGATACATCAGAAAAGCAGAACTTAATATTTGGTACAGAAACCTTTGTTTGCAATTACAGAGATCATACGTTTCCTGTAGGTCTTGACCAGGTTTGCACACACTGCAGCAGGGATTTTGGCCCACTCCTCCATACAGACCTTCTCCAGATCCTTCAGGTTTCGGGGCTGTCGCTGGGCAATACGGACTTTCAGCTCCCTCCAAAGATGTTCTATTGGGTTCAGGTCTGGAGACTGGCTAGGCCACTCCAGGACCTTGAGATGCTTCTTACGGAGCCACTCCTTAGTTGCTCTGGCTGTGTGTTTCGGGTCGTTGTCATGCTGGAAGACCCAGCCACGACCCATCTTCAATGCTCTTACTGAGGGAAGGAGGTTGTTGGCCAAGATCTCGCGATACATGGCCCCATCCATCCTCCCCTCAATACGGTGCAGTCTTCCTGTCCCCTTTGCAGAAAAGCATCCCCAAAGAATGATGTTTCCACCTCCATGCTTCATGGTTGGGATGGTGTTCTTGGGGTTGTACTCATCCTTCTTCTTCCTCCAAACACGGCGAGTGGAGTTTAGACCAAAAAGCTCTATTTTTGTCTCATCAGACCACATTACCCTCTCCCATTCCTCCTCTGGATCATCCAGATGGTCATTGGCAAACTTCAGACGGGCCTGGACATGCGCTGGCTTGAGCAGGGGGACCTTGCGTGATCTGCAGGATTTTAATCCATGACGGCGTAGTGTGTTACTAATGGTTTTCTTTGAGACTGTGGTCCCAGCTCTCTTCAGGTCATTGACCAGGTCCTGCCGTGTAGTTCTGGGCTGATCCCTCACCTTCCTCATGATCATTGATGCCCCACGAGGTGAGATCTTGCATGGAGCCCCAGATCGAGGGTGATTGACCGTCATCTTGAACTTCTTCCATTTTCGAATAATTGCGCCAACAGTTGTTGCCTTCTCACCAAGCTGCTTGCCTATTGTCCTGTAGCCCATCCCAGCCTTGTGCAGGTCTACAATTTTATCCCTGATGTCCTTACACAGCTCTCTGGTCTTGGCCATTGTGGAGAGGTTGGAGTCTATTTGATTGAGTGTGTGGACAGGTGTCTTTTATACAGGTAACGAGTTCAAACAGGTGCAGTTAATACAGGTAATGAGTGGAGAACAGGAGGGCTTCTTAAAGAAAAACGAACAGGTCTGTGAGAGACGGAATTCTTATTGGTTGGTAGGTGATCAAATACTTATGTCATGCAATAAAATGCAAATTAATTACTTAAAAATCATACAATGTGATTTTCTGGATTTTTGTTTTAGATTCCGTCTCTCACAGTTGAAGTGTACCTATGATAAAAATTACAGACCTCTACATGCTTTGTAAGTAGGAAAACCTGCAAAATCGGCAGTGTATCAAATACTTGTTCTCTCCACTGTAGGTCCTAAACTTATTTTGGTGGAAATGTGTGGACACGTATTCACAATAGGGCTGTTGTTTGTCTTTCACATGTTTTTAAACCCTCCCGTAATTTAAAAATATACAGGTGTTTCAATTCTTGCTGCCTCCAAAATACACTCATGTTTCCTTTTAGCCTGCCGTGTTGTGAAGCTAATTGCAGAAAAAAAGCAAAACGGTGTGCAATCTTTGGTTAAAATGGAATATAATTGTATAGATTGTAGTATGGTGGCTAGGGTAGACTTACTGCCTAATTAGGTCTGCCTACTCTATGGGGAGGGGGTGCAGTGAGAGGGACATGTTGCACATTTGCTGCAATGGACTTCACTAGGCCCTATTCCATAATACTGTTTCAAATGACTTACTAGTTTTTCATAGACTGGTAAAAAAAAAAAATCATCTCCATGGGACTTCTGGAGGATCACTTTCCCAAAGCAAAACATAGGCCAGGGAACCAGTAGATTAATTGCACACGTAGAGCCTTGTTTATAGTCTAATATTTAAGGAAATAATCTGAACCTCTTATTTCCTCCCAGATGACAGAAATGGGAGAATGTTTTTGAACATTTGTTTGAAAAGTGGGGTAGATCCAGTTACCAATAACAATAGTCAATACTTAAATTTAGTCTATCTATTATTAGGCCATATTCCCCAAGTAAGACTAAATTGCCTGACGATAGGCAGATAGATACAGAGTTTGAAAAGGCAGACTGTTTTTGAAGTGGATTATGTCAAAGCAAATTGTGGTGTTTCTAGGTCTGGTGCTTTTGCAAAAATGTTTCATTTGATGTCCAATCAGGTTGTGTGTTCAATGTATTGTAAGTTAAATCAACTTTGAATGCATGATTCATAAATTGTTATATAATTTTTATACTGTACAGTGCATTCGGAAAGTATTCAGGCCCCTTGACTTTTTCCACATTTTGTTACGTTACAGCCTTATTCTAAAATTGATTAAATAAATGTTTTTCTTCATCAATCTACACACAATAACCCATAATGACAAAGCAAAAACAGGTTTTTAGAAATGTTAGCAAATTTAAATATCTTATTAACATTAGTATTCAGACCCTTTGCTTTGAGACTCGAAATTGAGCTCAGGTGCATCCTGTTTCCATTGATCATCCTTGAAATGTTTCTACAACTTGATTAGAGTCCACCTGTGGTCAATTCAATTGATTGGACATGATTTGGAAAGGCACACACCTGTCTATATAAGGACCCACAGTTGACAGTGCATGTCAGAGCAAAAACCAAGCCATGAGGTGGAAGGAATTGTCCGTAGAGCTCCGAAAAAAATCTGTGGAAGGGTACCAAAACATTTCTGCAGCATTGAAGGTCCCCAAGAACACCGTGGCCTCCATCATTCTTAAATGGAAGAAGTTTGGAACCACCAAGACTCTTCCTAGAGCTGGCCGCCCTGAGCAATCGGAGAAGAAGGGCCTTGGTCAGGGAGGTGACCAAGAACCCGATGATCACTCTGAAAGAGCTCCAGAGTTCCTCTGTGGAGATGGGAGAACCTTCCAGAAGGACAACCATCTCTACAGCACTCCATCAATCAGGCCTTTATGGTAGAGTGGCCAGACGGAAGCCACTCCTCAGTAAAAGGCACATGACAGCCCGCTTGGAGTTTGCCAAAAGGCACCTAAAGGACTCTCAGACCATGAGAAGACGCATGGGGTGGCGCACAATTGGCCCAGCGTTGTCCAGGGTAGGGGAGGGAATGGCCGGCAGGGATGTAGCTCAGTGGGTAGAGCATGGTGTTTGCAACGCCAGGGATGTGGATTCGATTCCCACAGGGGTATGAAAAATAAAAAGATAACGTATGCACTCACTAACTGTAAGTCGCTCTGGATAAGAGTGTCTGCTAAATGACTAAAAATGTAAAATGTAAAAAATGAGAAACAAGATTCTCTGGTCTGATGAAACCAAGATTGAACTCTTTGGCCTGAATGCCAAGCGTCACGTCTGGAGGACACCTGGCACCATCCCTACGGTGAAGCATGGGGGTGGCAGCATCATGCTGTGGGGATGTGTTTCAGCGGCAGGGACTGGGAGACTAGTCAACATCAAGGGAACGATGAATGGAGCAAAGTACAGCGAGATCCTTGATGAAAACCTGTTCCAGACCTGAAAATAGCTGTGCAGCAATGCTCCACATCCAACCTGACAGAGCTTGAGAGGATCTGCAAAGAAGATTGGGAGAAACTCCCCAAATACAGGTGTGCCAAGCTTGTA